ATTATGTGGAAAACCTTCAATGCACTGGCAATTTTGTGTTATCTTTAATGTTGCAATCTTTTATGTTCTTTGCTTTGATTGAGCAGTGTTTCTATGAACAGTCTGCTCTTAACTTGAGTTTTGTACTCATAATAGCCTTCTGTACTCTGCTCTGAATCAGGTCTTTGATTAAGGGAAGGATCTCTGCTTTGAGAAGGCTTGCAAGATTTTTGAGCTAAACTTTTAATTTACTGAATTTCTTGCTGGATTGAATGACTTTTTGACTCCTGTGAATGGAATACTTGGAGTAGAAATAGCCGGAAGAACATTCAGAGAAACATTTGTAAGACATGGAGTGCAATAGAGATGAGGCCATCAGGGCTAAAACAATTGCCGAGAAAAAGTTAGAGCAGAAGGATTTTGCTGGCGCAAAAAAGTTTGTCTTGAAAGCACAAACTTTGTATCCAGGGCTTGAAGATCTTTCACAAATGTTAACAGTTCTTGACGTGTATATTTCTGCAGAAAATAAGATAAGTGGAGAAGTGGACTGGTATGGAGTACTGGGAGTGAGCCCTTCGGTAGATGATGATACTCTGAGGAAACAGTACAGGAAGTTGGCTCTTATACTTCACCCTGATAAAAATAAAGTTATTGGTGCTGATGGTGCATTTAAAATTATTTCAGAGGCTTGGACCTTCTTGTCTGATAAATCTAAGAGGTTAATGTATAACCAGAGGAGAAGTTCAAAAGGATTTCAACAGAAAGCTCCAGTGTATTCTAGTGGTCCATCAGCACCTGCACGAGCAAATGGATTTCATAATGTCAGTGGCAGGGCAACTTCATCTTCAAAGTCCATTAGTGGTAATGCTCGAGCACCCTCTACTTCAGTTCGTCCTCCATCCAATCCAAGAAATGATACTTTCTGGACCATTTGCCAGCGGTGCATGATGCACTACGAGTATCTCAAGGTATATCTCAACCATACTCTTCTTTGCCCTAATTGTCATGAGGCATTTCTGGCTAGAGAGATACCTCCACCTTTCAATAAGTCATCCAATTCAGCGCCTCGACCAAGACATCAGAATTCAGGCAATCATGCTGCCAATGGAAATCAATCTCATCCAGGAAGAAATGTTGCATCGAATAAATCGTCAGGACCAACAATGGGTGGTCTTAATTCTGCTAATTACACAAACCTCCAGCAGGATCCATTTTCTGGAATGGCTCGCTTTGGAAGCACTGATCCTTCAATTGCTGCAAAGGCCACAAATATTGTACATCAGGCGCATGAAAGAATGAAAAGGGAGCGTGATGATTTACAATCTGCCACTGGATGGGACAGGGCCCATGCCCATAGCTCTGTTATGAAAAATGAAATTCCCTTTAAAAAGATGAGACTAGGTGAGGATATTAATCGTTATTCTTCAAATCCAGTGCATTATGCAGACAAGGGCTATGCTTCTTCAGGTAGGTATGGTAGGCCTAACAGCACTAGGGAGTTCACAGCAATTGAGACCAATAAGATGCTGATGGAGAAAGCTAAGAAGGAGATTCTTAACAAATTGAATGAGTGGAAGTCTGAAACTGTGCACAAGGCTCGAGATACAGAGAAAGAGAAGGTTAAAGAGAAAAAGAAAGAAAAAGAAAGGAACAATAAAGTTTCTGGACTTGGCATGAGTGGAAAATCCAATTCATCTACCTTGAAGAATGCAGAGAGTTTGAATACTTCTGCTGATGATGTGAATAAGGAAGATCCTGCAGTAGCGGCTATGAGTGTTCCAGATCCTGATTTTCATAATTTTGACCTGGATAGAACAGAAGGTTCTTTCCAAGAGAATGAAGTTTGGGCTGCATATGATGATGACGATGGCATGCCTCGTTTCTATGCTTTGATCCATAAGGTTATGTCAGTGAAGCCATTTAAGTTGAGACTTAGTTGGCTTAACTCTAAAACCAATACTGAATTTGGTCCGATGGAATGGGTAACTTCAGGTTTCTATAAAACATGTGGGGAATTCAGAGTTGGCAGATATGAAATGAGCAAGAGTATTAATTCTTTCTCCCAAAAGGTTAAGTGGTCCAAAGGCCCGCGTGGAACCATTCACATTTTCCCCAAGAAAGGGGATGTTTGGGCCCTTTACAGAGACTGGTCTCCTGATTGGAATGAGCATACCCCTGATGAAGTGATACACAAGTATGACATGGTGGTAGTACTAGATGACTACGATGAGGAAAAGGGTGTCTCAGTTGCTCCACTTGTGAAGGTTAGTGGTTTCAAGACAGTGTTTCGTCCCCATTTGGACCCTGAAAAGGTCAAACCAATTCCAAAAGAAGAGATGTTTCGTTTCTCTCATCAGGTCCCAAGCCACTTGCTTACAGGTGAAGAAGCTCAAAATTCTCCAAAGGGTTACCTGGAGCTTGACCCAGCTGCTACTCCATTGGAACTTCTTCAGATAATAACCGATGCTAAGGAAGTACCAACAATGCAGAATGGTGGAGACATGATGGAAAATATCCCGGAACAATCTCCAGAAACTATGAAAAATAAGATTGCTGAAGTGGCTTTTAGTCCCAGGGAAGAAAAGTTTGTACAAAACAGTGAAGAAGACTCCATAAAAAAGACAAGATGGTCTTCCTTGAAGTTATGAAGGAAGTGGAAATTTAGAGTGGCGAATTAGATAGGAATGAGGGATATTTTTTTTTTTTTTGGGTTTTAAGCTAAATCTATAACTCTTAGATCCCTTCGGCTTGTTGAAATGGATGCTTTTGTGGCTGGAGGCAACCTTAACCCCAACACCCATATGTTTATCATACTGCAAAAAGAAAGCAGTTAAGACAGCAACATGGCTGGATGATTTTTTGGTTTTTGTTTGATGGGATGGTCTGACAGTCTTTTGACAAGATGATAGAGCAAGCTGATGCTTTAACCAAAAACAGATTGGTTAGTTTTCTATTTCAGAGTCATAAAATAGCACACTTTTTTATATTTTGCTGGTGTGGATTCATGATCATGTTTCTGTTTCTTTTTGTTGCTGTCAATTGCAATTTTGGGTTTAGAAATTCATAGATTGATAGATGAGGTTGCTCATTTTCCCTTCTTTTACTGCCTCTACACTTTGTGGATGATTTGGCTTCTTTCATTTATAAATCTTCTCCATATGTTCATCCATTCATGGCCAAATGTAATTCCTCTAATGAAGATTATCCCTCCTATAGATAGGAGACTAAAGTACCTTATGGTCTAGCTAGTGGCACCGAGTTGTCTCCCATATGGAAGGTTGTGGGTTTGAGTCTCAGTAGATGCGGTATTGATTTTTTTGTGCTTCAGTAAGTTGACAAAATAGTAATGAACAAATACTGCGTAGCACTCAAAAAAAAAAAAAAAAAAACTAGCTTTTCAAAAAAACAAAAAACAAAAAACAAAAAAAAAAAAAAACAAAAACAAAACAACTAGCTAAAGGGATACCAAATTTTAAAAATCAAGATCTAGCTACCCCCACAAACCACAACATTTGCAAGTACTAGCAAATAAAACCAAGTGTTAAAGGTATATGGCCGTGTTTGGTAAATGGTTGTTAGTTGTTAGTTGATTGGATTAGCTAGAGGGTATAGCTAGTTGATAACATTAGCTGACATGTGTTTGGTAAATTAGTTGTTAGTTAATAGCTGATTGGTATAATTTCTTTTCATAAAAAGTTAATTGAAAAAGTTGCTTTGAACAACATTAGTTGAAATGTGTTTGGTAAATTAGTTGATAGCTGTTTGATATAATTTTTTTTCACAAAAAGTTAATTGAAAAAGTTGCTTTGAACAGCTTTTTAAATTTTAGCATTTTGGAGTTACAAAAGGCTAATTAACCAAATATTTATATTAATTTTTTAATCAAGTTAAACAATTAATAGTGATCAAATAAGTTAAAATTAGAATATAGACTGAACATTTTACCAAACATGGCCTATAGCTCGAGGCCAACCATTTAGTATACCTATTCGATTATCTATGAATGTGCTTGATAAAACATATTCATCTCGTATCTTACGATGTAAGAAGAAAAAGGTAGTAGTGTATTAGCCTTGTCCAAAAAAAATTTATGGTAAATAAGTCTATTTTTACCTCCACTAACCTAATGGGGGTGCTTGGTAAATAGTTGTTAGCTGACTGTGTTAGTGTGTTTGACTAATTGATTGTAGAAAGGTGTTTGATAAATTAGCTGTTAGTTAATAGTTGATTACATAAAAAATAATTTTTTTACAAAACTAATCGAAAAAACCGCTTTGAATAGCTTTTTGAATTTAGCATTTTAAAACAATAAGTTATTACAAAAAATTAATTAATCAAACACTCATATTAATTGTTAGTTAATAGTTGATTACATACAAAATAATTTTTTTTACAAAATTAATCGAAAAAACCGCTTTGAATAGCTTTTTTTTGAATTTAACATTTTAAAATAATAAGTTATTACAAAAACTCAAACACTCATATTAGTTATTTAATCAAGTCAAACAACTAATAGTAGTTAAATAGGTTAATTTTGGTTTGAACCTTTCACCTCCCACTTAGGTGAGCAACCCAATACCAGTGGACCACAAGTCACTCGATTAAACAAGTTAAAATTGACTAATAGAGTAACTATTTTACCAAATATGCATTAAAAAAGCATCATAAATTGCTCAAAACTTAGCTGTGGTGCCTATATCCACTATAGTGAAATCCACACGACCATAGGCCCATTATTGATGTTTTTTTTTTTTAAAGACGCGTATTACAATATTTTATTAGCTAGTGAATATTTCTTAAAAATGATTTTAGTAGAGAAAATGGCAAAATATATCAATACGAATATTTTTACGATTGCACCGTGTGAGAAAATATATATATTTGGGGTAAGTGCAACATTTACGGGATTGTGAGCAATGAATGGCATTTTTGGAAATGCACCAATAGCTTCCCCGCATGGGCCGCATCTATTATATAATCTCATAATCTCTCGCCTTTCCCTCTCCTCCTACCCGGCGATTCTCTCTCCCACTCTTCCATGTTCTAAACAACGATACATTTTGATTTCAACCTCCTTCCGTTCTTCAATAGTCCGCAGGAATTCAGTAAGGTTTCTCCATCTTCTCAAACTCTCTCTCTGTTCATTCTCTCGTTCATGCAAATACCTGTGTATGTGTGCATGTGATTAGGCATTTATTAGACAAACGAACTCTGTTATGAGCTTCCGTGCTTTTGAAATGCTGGTGAATTTTCTGTTTTTGTGTTGTTGTTTTGAAACCTTTGTTTCTCGCGGATTGCGTTTGATCGGTATTGATATTAGCTCATTGCGTCGTGATTTTTTATTTTGTTTTTTTTGCTTTTCATTTTCGTGCGTGAGGTGAAACCGAATCGAAATGTTTTTATTTTGTTTGTTGACGGAAGTTAGGGTAGAAGTTGCTTCTCGTAACACGTTCGAGGCAAGGTGCGTTCGGCACGTTACCAAACCAAAAATCGTCACCGGCGGCGGTTGATTTCCGGCAACAAGCTTGCAGCGCCATTCAGCCTATCCGCAGGCGAAATCTCAGGCGATAATAGCGGTCGATTTTTGCGTTTCGCGTTCTAGAAAGCCGTTGATTTTTAAAATTATCATCCTAATAATAATAATAATAATAATAATAATAATATTATTATTATTATTATTATTATTATTATTATTATTATTATTATTATTATTATTATTATTATTATTATTTTCTGTGACATTTGAGTATTTCACTTATTTTAGCAAGGTAAGTGTTTCTTATTTTGGCGCACGAACAAAACTAAAAGCGGTTAATGTTCGTTTTTCCCTTCCGGCGGTGGGGGTAGGATCAGCGCATGCTAGCCGGCGAGTGTGTGGTACACGCGTTGACTCATTGGTGAAAGTCGAATTGGCGATGTTGATGGCCACTACGCGCCGGCGTGGACATACTGCCTCGCCGATATGGTGCGTTTAGGGTTGCTTTCGATTTCTGTGTGTAGCATATACACCGCACACGTGGAGTTTTCGGGGTCCACTATTCGACTGGGCCAGGCACACTTTCGCTTTGACCTTGAAGGCCAACAAAAGTACACTGCATTCTTTTGTGCCGGTGATTTTTTTATTTTTTTTAAATAATTTTTTTTTTTTTTGCATTATAGAGTTTTGAAGATGTCTTTTCTACACCTGCCTGAAAGTTGTCCAGATCATACCATGATCAAGTTAGGCTTTAGATTCTTACAACATTCAAAATCTTAGTTTTTATTAATTTGAATCTCTTTATATCAATTTAAAAATTGTTTTTAATTAAATTTGTACAGTTTTATTAATTTAGAATTTATTTGGGACAATGATTAGTTGGGATATTAAAAGTAGTAGTTGGAATAATCTCACTTAGGACCCTTATCTCTTTAGTTGAAAATTTTAACAATTGAAATAGTTTAGTACAATTATTGTTATCAAAATGGTACTCTACAGAATAGTGATTAGAGGCTACATATTTTCATGGAGGCTACATATAAGGCCATCAACATATATAGATATTGTACAATTTCTAAGAAAAAAAAGAGCCATGAAGATCATAGAGAGGGGATTGAGGTTCCTCTACAAGAGAGGAAATTATGACAAAAAAGTGAGTCCCACTAAAAAATGAGACTAGTTGCGCACGGCTCGTGTTGTCATGAGTGCGCCCAGCAGGCGTGTGCACTGCACGTGCCAGCTGGGTGCGTCAGGCGCGCTCCCAAGCGCGTTGACAGTGACATTTTTTTTAATCAATTTTGTTTTATTTTTTTCTCGCCCTCCTATATTATCTTTTCTAATCAGACTTACAAAAACTCCTCAAAAATTACAAAATATCTCCACTATTATGAATGCTCTAATGAGTATTAGAGGCTACGTACACACACATATATAAAGGCTACATTGTACTATATTCTATTTTTGTTTGGGTGCTAAATGGTATACGTTATGTGTGCAGTATCTTGTTTGCATATGTTGAATTGGTAACTGTTGTCTTGTTAACGATTATAATTTTTTTCAAGGAATTCATGATATAATTTCAACAAAATTTTGTTTATGATTTTAAAAGTTAAGTTGCTAGAAGCTAGGTTGTCTCTGGCCAATAGAATTTAAAGCAGTGACACATCGATATGATCCTAATTGTTTTGATCAAATAGCGTGTTTAATTTCTTAACCAAAAAGTCGTCATTTGTTAAATTTAAAATCAAGTCTGGGATTGGTACGACTAAAAAGTAGCGAGGTAGATTACGTTAATTTACCGCTAATCAATAGTATAGTAATATTGTTAATTAGAGAGTATTTTCAGAACGAGTACAATGTGTCCACATTATAAGTTGTTTGTCATTATTCAAGAACAAGAATTGTGTGTATATAATATATGTATCCCACTATCTTCCAGTCACAGGCGTAGCTTCTCTGAACTTCTCAAGGTTATCAGTGTCTTTTTTGTAGACTTGTGTATATATATGAATTAAAGCTAAAATAAGTTTGCTTTCTGTCTGTGCTGTAAAAAGGCTTACCAATGTGTCGATTCTACAAGTTCCCATTTTCTGAATCCTCCAATGGACCAACTTCTTTTACTGCTCACCTCCTTATCTGACACGTAAATCTTTGTCATTTTCTACACTTTTGTCCTGCTAGCAGACAAAAACCGAGATATGCAAAATTTACAGGCAACAACTTGGCAAACTTACACAAGTGTGGGTTTGTCTTGAGCCTAATTCAGGAAAAATAAAAAGTAGAATTAGTTCGTGAGACTCAATTATTACTCCTCATCTGGTTCGATTCACTTCCTCGACCCTTAAGTCAAGCACTAACACATTAGTGCTTAAGACCAAAATAGTAATTTATTAGCAATTATATAAAAAAGACTATTCTTATAGGATTCGTTAAATTCATGGATCTACGTGTGTCTTATGCCACAAAATAATTTATTATATATAGTCTGTTTGATCCGATTTTATTTAAGTGTAAAGATTGAATTCACATTTCTTATTAACCAATGTGAAATTCTTACTTTGTTATTTGCTTTGCATGATTTATTTGATTGTGTTGTAGGTCATTTGTCAACTATTGCCAATTAAATTAACTCGGAAATATGCATCAAAACAAGTAAACCTACTAGCTAGTGGCAAGTTGGCTTTTGTCTTGTTTCATTTTGTTTGTTTGTTTATTTATTTTTAATTCTTTTTTTTTTTTTTTTGCTCACATGAAACATGAAGTATCTAATGTAAATTGTAATGAACATTATATTGCTTTGACTATTAGTTAATTAGCCAACTCTATTATATGTAGCAAATAAAATAAAATATTTAAAAAAATAGTATGTATATCTCAATTACCAACTTCTTCTAATGTAATAAAGGTTTATATTGTTATTGACTTATTGTAACCTCAATAAAATCAAATCTTTTATAAACCTTTCTCTACCCTTCTCCACTCCACTTCATCTTCTTCTTTATTTCTCTTTTATTTTCTTCTTGGCCGCCTAGGTGTATGCACAACACCAATGGCAAAAAAATTTTGACAAATTTTTATTAGATTTTAGCCATGTGAGAACAAGCTAGGGGGGAAAGAAAAGAAAAAGCTGTCAAAACGACAAATAATAGGACCCACTCTCCTCTGTCTTCTCTAACAAAAACCCCTGCTTAAAAGTAAATTAAAGCCCTTCTCCCTCATTCCTCTCTTCTCTACCTTGAATAAAAAAACATAAAAACCGTACGTCGAAAACCCCACTAACGTTTCTCTTCACATGTAAACTTCATTAATTTAAGTTTGATCGTGTGGAGTGAGTGGCTTGGTTCGAAGACACGTGGAAAGTGAAATTATTTTCTGTCTATGCCCTGACGGTGGTTTGGTGATAGTAAACTAATGAGATTCCAAAACTGTTGGCAACGTGGGGGGTAAGTAGTTCGTTGGGGCGGAGCCAAATGATGAAAGTAGTTGGTGCGGACCCAACTTTCTAACCTTTTTAACCATATAAACATAATATTTAGTATAGGTCTTAGGATTTTGGACAAGTTTTGTCCCTATCGTCGGTGTTGGTTAAATCAGTCTTGATTGAGACCTTGGCAACCAGCTCGAGCATTATATTATATATATTCCACATATACTCCTTTTTTTGAAGTGGCCATGCAATGTTGAGTCACCGACTCTGACCTTAATAATTTCTTATTCACTTCCCTTTTGTCTCTTTGCTTTTTAATCACTTCTTTTCAAATCAAAATCTTGGATTATTATCTTTTGTGCACGCCTTGAACAACACCCAAATTCGTGCTCTAACCAGTAACCAGCCTCTATACTTATTATTATACTTCTAAATCCAAAATAAATCTCTAATATTTTACTATCCTTTTAAATTTTTATTATCTTTTATCATACTTTGCAATTTTTAAATTTAATAAAAATGTCAAAATTATATTATTTCTTACTTGTTCAATCTAGCTAGATCGATATGTGTGTAAACTTATAATGGACGGAGTTAATTATGAAATTTTTCTAGTAGTCAAGTTGTAATAGTGTTATTATATTCTAATAAGTGAAAATTAATTTCTTGTCATATATATAAGTAATATTTTTCTTGAGTTGTAGTTATTTTTTAAAATGGGATTTACACTTTATAATTAAGTATATGACAAATATTTTCCGAACTTTTTGTGTTTGTGAGCAGTTAGGGGCTTAAACATATTAAACAATACAAAATTTGGTAGTTGTTAGTTGTTACAAATATAATATTTTTAAATACTTTGAAAATTACGTGAAATTGTTAGATTTGAATTTCCACATGGTAAGAATACTCTAGAATATGTGCACAATGTTTGTTTATCCTAATAAGTAATAAGCTAAGTAGTCATATATCTATGATTATGCATTATAATAATTATAACTCTGTAGTCTGTATCAACTGTCTTTTGTTTATTAAGAATCTGTTTTTTTTTTTTTTTTTTTTTTTTTAAATTATTTTTTATAAACAAATTATAAGCTAGTCTGGCTGGTGTCATTTTCTGCTTGCGTGTTGATTTTTTATGAAACGTGTTGATAATTATCATGATGCACTTGAGAACTGGATCCGAATTACTGAAGCTCTTTCCAACAGCTTCATCTAAAGGAATAAAACAAAATTTACAACACTTTTTATTGGAATTCATACTATTTTTGATCCTTGAAGTATTTGTTACCATTCTTAGTATTCCATTAGATTTCACCATTTAGGATATCAGTAGCATAGCACCTCATCTAGTATCATCACGAGAACCCAACCAGCGCGGTGGACTGCATTCTCCATCTTCAAGCTTCAGCTATGGCGTTGCTTTTCAGATCAGATCACCAGGTTCCTGTTGCAATCCCGCCGTACGTTAAGCTATGGACTCCGCCATCGTTACCTTGGACTGAACACCTCTGTGAGTCTCGATCGATCGATCTGGTTCGCTGTTATTGAAGGTCGAGAACTCCAGATATCTGGTTCAAAATTATTATGAATTGAAACAGGAAGGACAAATTAAAGCGGGTGGGTCAGGTTTAATGCCAGCTTAACCTCAACTTATATTTTTTTTATTAGTAAACAAATTATAATTCCAACAAACGTTTATTCGATCGGCGCGACAAGAAGTTAAAAACATGTGGAGATTCTCTACCAGTAGTTGTGTCATTTCAGGTTAGGTGTTATGGCGACAATGTACCTTTCATGTGATGGAAGAACATGTGCTCCCAACTTGTTTATTAGATTCGGTATCTTAAAAATATTCATTTGTTATAGTTTAACTTTTTAAAAAGTCTATGTTTTTATTTATATCGCGGGTTCACTGATATTATATTGCTGGATTTTGTTAAAAACTAGTATACGTTTTCAGAGATGGATCATGATATGTAAAGCTTGTGTTTGGATCAGGTGATCAAATACTGAGGGATAACACTAAATAAGCTTATGGGAATTTCCCACTGCCTTGCCAAAACATCACACAGGATAGAGGCGGTTCCGAAAGCCAGACACGACAAGTCCCTGCCCAGGGCATACTGTAAACAGATTAAAGATGATGATAATGAGCCCATGCTTTCTGCTAATGCCAAATACAAATCTTGGCTGGTATATTATATATAATATATATATTGTTGTTATCTATATTATATTAGATGGTCATCTCACTTTACTGTGTAATATTATTTGTGTCATGATCAGGAAAAACACCCGCCTGCACTGAGCTCATTTGAAGGGATGATGAGAGGAGCAAAGGGCAAACGGATTGTGGTGTTTCTAGATTACGACGGAACCCTCTCTCCCATTGTTAATGACCCTGACAAAGCATTCATGTCTGATCTCGTACGTAAATCTCTTATATATGTAATTATGTATACACATACTTACAGTTCCACGATTGAATTGAAGTCCATCCATGAGCATTTATTGTATGTTTTATTTTTGTTGAACACACAGATGCGCTCAACTCTGAGCGAAGTGGCCACTCACTTCCCAACAGCAATTATAAGCGGTCGAAGCAGAGAGAAGGTAAAACTACGCATTATTATTATTCCATCAATCTCAGTTTATATATATAATGGTATTAGGAAAAGGAAAAGAAAAAAAAAAAGATGATTTAGTTGTAGTTTAATGTTGTGCCGGTTATGTTTGTGGATGTTCATCTATCAGGTGTATCGTTTTGTAAAGTTAGATGAAGTGTATTATGCCGGTAGTCATGGTATGGATATTATGGGACCTGCAAAGCAACTGGAGTCTGATGATCGCAAATACCAGACCAAAACCCTTGATAATAAGGTCTGTTAGTTCCCAGGCCACTTCATATTTTTTCCTATTCGATCAATTATGCTCTGATCTATCTAACCAGGCCAACTAATATTAATATTCTTAATTGCTGCAGGGAAATGTATTCACCCTTTTCCAGCCAGCTCAAGATTTTCTGCCTCAAATCAAGAAGGTCCATAATATATGCATGAACACTTAATTATCATTTGGCTCATATATATATACGTTAATTTGGAATATATATGCATGCAGATGTTGAGTGAGCTAAAGGAGAAAACTTCAGATGTAGATGGAGTATTGGTAGAGGACAACATGTTCTGTATCTCTGTGCACCATCGGAACGTGTTGAAAGAGGATCATGGATTAGTAAAGAAGAAAGTTGAGGCCGTACTTTCCAATTATCCAAAATTCCACCTCACAAAAGGTTTGGAGGTTCTTGAAATCCGGCCAACCATCAAGTTTAACAAAGGTGACGCGCTGCTCTACCTGCTTGAAACCCTCGGATTCGCTAACTCCAAAAATGTCCTCCCTTTTTACATCGGAGACGATAACACCGATGAAGACGCTTTCAAGGTATAAACTATATCATAAAATTAGCAGTTTTTAAGGTTGAGAGACACCCTATATATAACCTTTTCCGACCCGCATGCCCGCAGGTGCTAAAAAGCAGAAAGCAAGGGTGTCCTATTATTGTTTCTTGTGTCCCAAAAGAATCCTTGGCTTCATACTCGCTTCGCAATCCATCAGAAGTCCAATCTTTTCTGATGCTGCTAGCAAGATGGGGCGCCGACCATTCTTCTCACTGATGATCCCATCCGACGTGGCGCCCTCAGCTCAGCTCGTCGTCTCCCACTTTCTGTACGTATCTATATATATATATATATATATATATATATATATATATATATATATATATATACAAGGCGTTGTTTTATTTCTAAGTCCGCCTTGTGCATACGCAGTTAGTTGTGCCACGCTTTTTGGGCCGCAACTGCATGTTTAATGTTTTCCCCGGTTAGTTCTTTTTTTTGGTCGTCTTTTCTTGCCCCATCCAGTAGGCATCATATATATATATATATATATATATATATATATATATATATATATTTGTATTTATATTTATTTATGTCTATACAGAAATCATTAGTAAGTACGTACGTTAAAACTTTTTGTTAACATGTTTTGAGGTTCTGTAATGTACGACCTTGAACCAGCTTGAACATGATTGAACTTCCCGAATCGTAATTTTCTTGTTGGATTTCTTTTGCTCTCCCATAATTGCCTGCTTGCGGAAACATTTTATTATTAGAATTAATCAATTAATTATTATTATTTTTAAGAGAGAGATGGACTTCAATTATTGGAGTACATATATACTAGTTCTAGAACATGGATAATGAAACTGATGATTTATATATACTAAGTAGGATTAGTGTTAGCTTAGAATAATATAATAATGCATATTTGTCTGATCTATCTATCTGATGTCCACTCCCAAAAGGAGTAGCATATATATAGGTACACCATTTTCTCCCGCAATATCATATCCCCTACCCAAAACCACTAAATCCAGTTTTTTATTTTTTATTTTCTATCGTTACTTGTGGATTGATCACGAACTAACTATATATTATAGTATATAATAATATAAGACAAAACATATATAACAGATCAGATGATAACATATTGATTTTAAAAGTATTGATGATAGATATGCATATGCATATATAGCGTTAGCAAACTGATCGCATCTCCACTAACTTAATATTATTTTCAATTCCCATCCAACATACATGTTTATCATGTTTTTGGCGTATCTATAAGCTACGGTCAATAATCTAGTTGCGTAATGACGAGTGCACGTTCTAGAAACTGTTTTCAATTCGTACTAGCTTAATTAGCTAGCTAGCTAATATAAACTTCCAAATTAGAGAACCCCAAAAAGTCCTCAAAACACTTTATTTATGCTCGTAAAAAGAACCCACTAGCTACCTTCCTGCTGCAGAAAAGTGGGAGGTGAAAAAGGAGAATTATAAGAAGAATTGTCTCATTACATGTGTGATGTGATACTTGAAAAGGATGTACGTACTACTACATACTATTGTTGCTTCATAGAAATGGTCAACTTAAAGAATATATATATATATACTTAAAAGCCAAGGATATTGATGTGATCCGTGAGGAGGTGCGGATAAGATAATATAATGTGAATATTTTCCTTTTTTAACTAGAGGCTTTGGGTTTGAAACTTAGGATTTGTCTAGGTGTGTGAGGTATTAGTATGCTCTGGCCAAGAAACTTGCATTGTGGTTTGATCCAAAAAAGATATTGAGGTTAGAGTAAATATTCAAAATGGTCCATCGACTACAACATAACTCACAAATTGATCATCAACTATTTATTGAATTCGATTAAATTCTCAACTATTCAAAATTAATTATCTGATTTAGTCCTCCGTTAATGCCCCCGTTTAAAACCACCGAGGCCATACGCGTAATTTCATCAGCTCCCTTAAAGACCTAATCATGTAAATTTTGAATAGTTGAGGATTTAATTGAATTCAATCAATAGTCGATGACCTAATCAGGTAATTTTTGAATAGTTGAAGATTTAATCGGACTCAATCAATAGTCGATGATCAATTTGTAAATTATGCTATAGTCGAAGTACGTTTTGGATATTTACTCTAGGTTATCATAAAGGCATTATGTGAGGATAATTTTGTAATTTAGTATTTATCTTGGTTTGCAAATGTAAGGTTTGAATCTCACACCATCTTGATCATTTTACCAAAAGCAGGTAACAGTACGTATGGTACACGCATGCTTTCCAATTACTAATTCAGATCGTATATAATTATCTGCTCCTAATCACACATTTAAGTCAAATTAGTAAAGTTATAGTACATATAGCATGATATTTTTAGATGTATGGAACATATCATAATTGGGGATTTGGAACTTGTTGTTTAATTGGGTAGACATTTAATTCAGCAATTAGGACGGCATTAGGCTTAATTATTTATTGCTAGCTAGGGTTAGGGTTAGGATTAGGAATTGAAAGAGTGACAGTGCATGTTAGGTCTCCTAGTAGCAATAATGTAATGGCAGAATGCAGATGGCTCGTTGATTATTATTATTTTTTAACTTTATCTAGCCATCTAGGCAGATATTTTGGTTTACAAACGATGAAAGAAGATATTTATCTTCTCCCAGTACATTATAAATTAAAGATTCTTAAAGTTGATTACAACTCAACATTTGTTTTGCAGTTTTGCTAATTTACTTAAGTATTTTTTAAAAGATTTTACTTTTGGTGTTTAATACTATTTGTAATGAAGTAAAAATAACTCCATTCATGTCTCGTTAATTGAACTAAACACATAAAATGAGACGGAAGGATTATATATTTACCATTTTTTTTGAATGATGAGAAACACACATAATCACTATTCAATTCGGTAGTGTGCAATATGCACTAAGTAAACCATATTCTTGTGTAATCAAGGTTAAAAAAATCGCTAAGCGCCTTCTAGGCGCCTGGGGACTGCCTAAGGCGCCTAGAGCGATTAATCGGCGCCTAGAGCACCTAGGCGGGCGCCTAGGTGGCCGGCCGCCTAGCGCCTAGCGCCTAAACCCGATTTTTGTAACACTGTGTGTAAAAGCCCGTAAATCATATAGGATAAATAAATAGCATTAGGAAGACTCATCCAGCCACTCCTTTCGTAAGTTTTTGTTTTGTTAGTGTGTGTTCATAAATCACATAAGATAGATGAATCACATTAGTGACTCTTTTTGTTACTTTCATTTTTATCCTTTATTAATGTAGGATATGAATAAGACATCAAATAATATTGCTCGATCTTTTTTCTAGAAGGAGTTTGAAGTAGAACAACTTTCCAATTAAAATTATTGCAGATTTGATATGATCAGAAATGAGGAGTTATGGTCAAAGAAGTAAAACTAACATACATTATATTCAGTTTGCAATAACTGTCAATATATTGTGGAGTGTTGGGACTAGCATGCATATATATATATATATATATATATATATATATATATATATATATATATATATATATATATATATATATATATATATATATATATATGCTTTAATTTTTCACAATCCACCAATCATATATCAACCAGTCTTGACTACCAACTTAACATTATGCTGCTTTGGAAGCTTTTACTCTTTTGGAAAAGAACTTGATGCCAACACATTCCAATTTAGTACTTTAATTTGCCAACATACACCTCCATATTCCAAATCACTAATAATATTACTGGTTTCTGCCGAAAACCAGAGCACTAGAGAATTGCTCTAGTTATCAAAGAAGTTCTCTGATTTCTGACGGAAACTAGTCCATCAAAAATAAGAGTAGAACGTAATTTTGGCAGAAACTCTCATCGTCGATGTAGCCTTGGTGTGGAAAACGACTTCATTTTTCCTCAATACACCACTATTTTTTCCGATCAACGGAGAATGATTTCCGTTGACTTCGATTTTTCAGACACATCCAAAGAAAACCAGAAAATGATTTTCAAAAATCATTTTTCAAGTTTTCAAACGCACCCTTAAATGGCTTAAGCCGCATCGGGTAAAAAAGTATACTCATAGTACTGTTACATACACATAATGAAACACTTTCTATTTCATGGAAATTGAAAACACTAATTTGTGTGTACCGACATTTGATCATATCTTCTCCCAAAAGGTTGAGTCCCCAACTCCAAGAGTCCATACACTCGACCCGACAGAGCATTGTGGGAAGTTGTAAATCACGGTGACTCAATGGTTTAGCAGACAGGGCCAAATATCGGTGCACACAAAGAATCCGCCCACTTTGAACATAATTCTCACACTGTCGCCGTCGAGGTTTGAACCTTGGTCTCTTGTATTTGACCATATTTATTAAGTCATTAAGTCACCGTAATTTACATCATCACAAATATTTTGTTGAACGGAATGTAAGGAGTCTTGGGATTGAAGATTCAACCTTTTGGGAGAAAAATAAGAACTAATGGGAGGGAAGCCATAAACTAATAAAGTAATGGAGTAAATAAATAGGCATCTGAGGGCAAATATAAAAGTGCGCAAGAGTCCAAAGGCAGAAACGGACAAAGAAGAGTGGCACATCAGAAATAAATGGACAAGTCTGAGGGCAAACAGAGCAGCCATCAGGCATCATCATCATCATTATCATCATCACTCATCACAGATTGGTAAGCTCACAATAAAATAACACGCTCAAGATGCCAACTGCCAACAACACCTACTGCTTCAAACTAATTTATTATTATTTATACATATATATAAATGCCAAAAGTTGTTTTGATTTTTCCAGGCGATGAACGCTAAATCCATGGTGGAGCTTCTCTTCGCTGCGGCGGCGCCGACTTCCCGAGGTAAGTGACTCAACTCGCTCGTCTTTCGACTTCTGCGATCGGAGTATTGCGCCGACGGCGGCGATTCGAGAGAGGTAGTGAGCAGGGAGCAGGGAGGATGAACGCGACTGGGAACGGCGGTGTGGAGAGAGAGTACATAACGAAACACCACAGGCACGAGACGGCGGAGAATCAATGCAGTTCGTTTCTGATCAAGCACATCAGAGCACCTGTTAACCTCGTTCGTTTATCTTCTCCCTCTGCTCTTTTTGTGCTTCAGTGCTTGCTTGCATTTGATTTTTAGTTGGATTTGTGTGTATCGGTGTTTGAGTTTTTGGATAGATCCACTTCTCTCTCTATAGGATGAATTTTTTCTTTTTTCCGCAATGTTCAGTTCTGATTCGTGAATTTTCGGATGATTTGTTGATTTCATTCCACGTCTCTAGCAATTTCAGACTTTTGACTGGTTGTTTTACTGTTCAATTTCTAGTTTTCAGTTAGATTTGTGTTGTATGACTGTTCAACTTTAGCATCTACTTAAACCAATGTTTGCTTCCATTTTTGTGTTTATGATGAGAGTTTCTCACAAATGGAGTGCATATTAAGAATGGAAACAGGATGGTAAAATGTGTGAATGAATAGAAGCTGTTTGATTTATGGACTGTAACTTGGTC